AATGTTTTGATGTTTTGTACTTAAAAAAAAACTTTATGATATTATTTTGAATATATGCTTAAAATGTAGTAAATTTTAGCTATGGTTAAGGGGTAATATTTTTTTAGTCCACTTTAGGCGTCTCACGAATCTGGACCGGCACTGATTACGACCCTTCATTTTGGGTAATGCTTTAATGTTTATCTACTCATAGTTTAGATTGTAAAATGGTACAGATTTTGTAGCTAAAAAGAAAATGGCAAAAGATTTTCACTTAACTAAAAAAGTTATAAATTGTGGTAGGATATAACAATATTTTTATAAAATAACCATTCAGGTATCACTAATTCCTAAAAAAATGGAGATTGTAGATTATAAGGCTGGTACACTTATATAACATTTCTAAATCCAGCCTATAATATTTTTTTTTTATTAAGAAAAAATCATTAGAGCTTAGACTTATTAAGATAAAATCTAATATTCTTTTTTAGCAAATGGGAAAGTCTCTTTTCTCATTAAAAACATATTAAAATTATGCAGAGATCTCGAACACCCGAGCCATCAAGAACCAAATCGTCCACCGGCGGTTTGCTTCCTTCTTCGTCGCCTTTGTTCGTTGGATCTAAAAGGAAAGTCTCATATCTTCTTCTTCTTCTCCATGGTGGTCTGATATATCTGAAACCAATACCTTTTTCTCATCTTCTATTGATTCTGAGAGTACATATATGTGGTTGTGTTACTGTATTATTTTTCTTCTTCTAGTTATTGGTTTGTGATGTTGAGAAAGGCAAAGGTGAGGACCCGGTTTGAATTCTTCTTATGCCTTGTAATCACTTGGGGGTGATAGTCCTTTGTTAATATTATCTACGTATAATTGTTGAATGGTGTGATATGATATTGAATTGCAAGATCTAGTTGTTGATTTGTATTGGTGTGATGAGATTACGGACATGCTGAAGGAACTATTTAGTGAAAAGTAGATGATATCACAGCATACACCTAGAGAAAAAAGTTGGAAATGAATTTTGACGCAGCCAGATGCCCAACTGAGTTCTATAAGGACTTGGCTTGTCCACTACCTAAAGGATGTGCCCTGGTATGGTGGGAGGGAGTCATGGATTGAGTGCAAGAACACAACGAACTGACATGGGTAGAATTCTTGGAGGCTTTCAACAAGAATTACTTTTTGTGGGGGCCTTGGATCACATGGAAGGTAAATTTCATGACATTCACCAAGGGACAAAGAATGTAAGGGAGTACAAAAAATATTTCAACCGTTTGAGAAGATTTGCAGACTACTACTTGGGAGAGCGTGAGCTGTTTGGCATGTTCTGAAGGGATGAGGATTGAAATCATGAAGCGTTGTAATTTTCGGGATTATCAAGAGATCCATGAGTCGGTAAAAAAAGCTACGGAGCAATACATTGGACTAGAAGAGCAGCTTAAGCAAGCTAAGAGTGTACATGCCACAACTGCGAAAAGGACTTGGGAAATATGTAATGAAGCAACCATATTTTTTCTTAGACAATTGTGTGAAAGGTGTGGAAATAAGCACCCAAGGAATTTTTGGCATGGGGTGTGTTTCCGGTGCAAGCAGTTAGGACACCTTAAGAAAGATTACCCACTTAGAGAAAAATCTAAGAGTGGATGTTTTTTTTTGCATGGACATCAAGGTTATATAGCAAAGGATTGTAGAGTTCCAATGGTGAAAGCAGCATATTGAATATTATCACCCCCACCCAAGAGACAAGCAGTAAGGCCAAGTTTCTTTGTTGTTGTGGATCATGAATAAGCTAAGCTGATTGCGGATACGTATTTATGTATATATTATTTTTGTAAGAATTTCATCAGTTTAAGTAGTGTATATCCTAATCTAGTACCATTGTAGGATTGTTTAATTGATTGGTACTGTTAAACTTTTGTGTCTGGTTGTGGTTGTTATTCAAGGAGGGAGATTACTAGTAACAAGGGGTAAGCCTCGGCGATCATGAAGATCTAACCACATGCGAAGAGTGGATGTTTTGAAGTTGTAAAGTTTGGATGCTTGGATTACTTTATTTTTTTAATTTTCTCTATGTGTGTGTAGTGTATTAATTAATTGCTTGATAACTGATGCATATTTGGGGCGGGGGGGGGAGAGATTTAATTATGAGGGAACTATGACTCATTTAACAAATTAGTTTCTCATTAGACTCTTCGTTTTGCAGGTAAGCTTTAGTTGGTAATGTTTAGATTGAGGAGCATTGTTGTTTGTGTAGTGTTCATGCCTTTTGTAACGAAGTATGCATTGTAATAAATAATAGTTTCAAATGGTCGACTGTATGTATGTTTTGTGGTTTAAACCTAAGTACTATATGAATAAGGTATGATTTCCAATCTCTTAGGTTCGTATGATATTAATCCTAGTGTGGGACGAACCAACTAACGGTTTCATACTTGGATTGAAAAGCCTCAACATGGAATGATGGGAAACCTATTCTCGGATATTTGACTTTGGGATTTCAGATTTGATGTGGGAACCTCGGGTCCGATGTTTAGATACATGGTAGTAGCATCTTCGACCTGCTTGAAAATTAGTTATTTGTGTTTGTTCTTGTTTAATTGTTGCACGACAAACTGATATATCACGGTTTTTATGGATTTTAACCATGATATAGGTCATATATTTAGAGTATTTATTATATGTCTGGGAGTTGTTATAGATTTTTTATAGGTTTAAGTACGATTTAGACAAGTTTGGAAATTCTACAGTATTTTGAATCTTGGAGAGAAGTGATGCTAAAACCACAATTTGGATTTGATCTTTAAGATAGTGTACTTCATTTAGTGATGTTTCAGTATAATCTGATGTCTGATTATGTTAGGTTTAATTTATTTAATTAATAAACAATTGCCCGGTTCGGATTTGATAAATAAAATATTAATTATATATATTGATCCACTATATTAGATTATTTCCAGTATATTAAAATAAATTAAATAATGAGCTCTTAAAACATTGACATCAAATTTTTTTACAGAATAATTATTAAATTAATTAGATAATTTCAGAAACTTTTTTTCATCATTTTTCTATGTTTTATTAGCTGATCTGGACGGTTTCAGAAAGAACATACTTAGTGTTACAAGTGGAGTGGTTACCACACTGTCTAATCCGGTGAAATGATTTCCGACTAATTTCAGAGGATAACTGAATCGATTGTTACCAGAGTACCAGGTAAACTATTTGGACAGAAGACTAAACCTAAACTTTGGTACATTACTTTGATTTTGTTTCAAGAAATACTCGAATCCGGAGGAAATGTTCTATCACATTCCCAAATACCATGTACCAGTTGACCACAATCATGGGGGCTTGTTTCATCATTTTCCTTGAAGATTTTTTCTAAAGGTACTGTTAAAGATAGTGAAATCTTGTTGAGAAAAAAAAGATAGTGAAATCTTACCTTCCTATCACCAACCAGTACCGTCAAGCACCCAAGAAAGTTGCATTAGTCTTATACGACGACAAATCGTCTTCAAGCACGTCACCATTTTTAGGTCAAAACTACTAAGCTTTTTGGCAAAACAATTTTCACAAAACTACTTTCTCGTAGTCAATTTGTAAAAGTATCTATTTGTCCATACATATACATGTCTTCTACTTCGGACACAATATGGAAACGCACACGTATTATTTAACTGAGTGAGCTTGAAATAGGGTAATATTTGAAAGAGATTCGTGCACAATGTTGTTGGCAAAAAAAAAAGAGTCTTGTACGATGTTTAAATAATTCCAAGAGCAGGTTTCCAGAAGTATGAACACAAGAGGGGGAAATATAAAGATGAGCAACCACCCCCAACACACAAACAAAAAATAAATGAATGTTTAGCAGATAAGTTAAACCGTTCTTAATAATCCTTAAAGGGTTTACAAAGTAGATGATCATCTTATTTATTAAATAGTATGGTATCTACAAAAATGACTAAATAACTTAATGTTTTTTTCTGATAAGATTTGCGTTTGACGACCAACACATCCGATTTTGTAACAGAGTAATCCAGTTGATCATGTGAAATGATGTACTTTTTTCATCTAAGATTGTCATTTCTTTTGTCAACCAATAAGATTATCTACAATGGTAATTATATTAAATTGCAGAGTGCAGAATTCAACTTTGATATGCCAATATAAAAGTGAGTTATTAAGCCCTGAACTGAAATGAATAAGAATGGTTTCATACTACTATTCTATTTAGTAGGTTTGTTTCGGAAGTTTAAAGATGTTTGTGATACAAGAAAGTGTTTAATAATGTGTGTCATGTATTTGGACCTAAATAAAGTGTGATTAGACAGTAAAAGAGAAACAGAGTATGTAGCACACAACACAAAAGCTACACATATAATTAAAACACAAATCCTTATCACAAATGCACTACGACCCGTTAAAAAGTCCACTAAATTGCACCCAAATACTTTAAACATGCACGATAGTGAAGTGTATCATGGAATTTCATATATATGACACTAACTTTTGACTCTTCATAAATATACGCTGAAAAGGTTTATGAAAGTAGCATGAACAACGAGTAAACATCAAGAAGTAGTGAACATCAAGAAGTATAATCCATTTAAGCATCCCTTATGCCCTTCATCTTCACAAATATACACATATATACAAATACTTTATCACATACTGAAATTTAACTGATCTATCGTAATTAAGCATATTGAGCAAGGGAATATATGTGGTGGGATGGAGATCCACATCTTTTGTAGAAAGTGCGTGTGGGGTTAACTGAGAAACACATGGCGTTTTCTTTTCTGCCTAGAATCTACATTTTGTGTTATACGTAAGGCCAAAAAGTCAACGACTTTGGCTCCCTCTCTTTATCGCTACGCTATTATAAATTGAAGGGCCAATCACCCAACTCTATTTGTCCTAAAGAAACTAAAAACAAACAAATTGATAATCCACCTCTCTTTTTTTCTCTCTCTCTCTCTCTAACTCTCTCTAGCAAATCTAAAAAATAGATTTAGAGAAAAAAACTTTTGATTGTCCGTGGGATTTGTGAGGAATGGAAAAGGGAAACAAACAAAGTAATAAATGGGTACAAGAGGAGGTTAGTAATGAAATAAATAATAGGGAATTAGCTGAAGAAGAAAGTGTTGATTGGAGAGGTAGACCATCCAACCCTAGCAAGCATGGTGGAATGAGAGCTGCTCTCTTTGTTCTTGGTATACTCTCTCTCTCTCTCTCTCTCTCTCTCTCTCTCTCTCTCTCTCTCTCTCTCTCTCT